TAGATATATATATATATATATATATATATATATATATGTAAGAGCAGCTTGTGGCTCCTTACGTGTTAATCATAATAAAGAAGAGTACATAATTGGGGAGGGAAGGAGGATCCTTGCTAAAAATAAAGAAAAATACATGAAATCCTAAGGGTTCCTCCATCCGCATTACAACTCCACACAAAACAAATGAATAAAGCGTAAAAAAGATATCACCTCCAAAAATACATGTATCCTAACAAAAAGTATACCAATCCAAAGAAGTATACCCAAAGTAAGCATGTACACAAAGTGCAAAAAAGTGTTATGTGAATTGTATGGCCAAAAAATCTTGAAGCAATTCTGACTCCCAATCCGAGAGCGAAAAAGTAGCTGTGTAACAGGCTTGGTAGAGCATAAAAAATGTAAGGTAGTTGTAGCTTAAAACTTGTAGGCAATACCTGTTAGGTGTGTTAAAAACAGCAAGGATGTGAAGTGTTAAATTAGTAGTCCTTATAGTCCAACAGTAGAGTCTGCTGCAGGGAAGTAAAACCCAAGGAATGACAGAAATATAAGGTTTCTGAGGGGAATTGCAATAAACATCATGAACCATGAGCCTCCATTCATGTAATAGTTTCAGAAATATAACATCAGGGGCCTCAAAATTATAAGAAATGAGTTGTGGTGCAAACGACCACCACAATTAAATCAGGAAAAGGAAAACATTGGCCTTAACCCACTTACTCAACAAATCACCACCAAAATTTTACCACAAGCACTACAAAGTAAAACCAAATAATGTAGCCCTTAATGTAATAGTTTGTAAATGCTGCAAATCCCAGTTTAGTATCCCAAGATAATAGTATGCAATACAAAAAATGCAGTTCACTGTTTTGCTAACCAAAATGAGGCTATAAAGCCCCAAATAAGAAAATAACTCACGGCAAGGACTATAGATAGCCCAATACTTTCTTCCACAAAAGTAAACAGAGTTACCACACACCCTACCATTAAAGAAAACAAAAATTTCAATTAGCCTTCCATTAAACGAAGCATAAATATCATGAGCCATGAGCCTCAAATCATCAACAAGGTTCAGAAACCACCACCAAAACTTCACCGCAAGCACCGTATAATAAAAATAAATTTGTAGCCCATAATGTAATAGTTTTTCCTAGCCTCAAATCTCAGCTTAGTATTCCAAAGATAAAAGTATGCAATACAAAAAAAGCAGCTCACTGTATTACTAACTAAAATGAGGTCATAAAACCCCAAATAAGAAAATAGCTCACGACCAAGCCTATACGTAGCCCAATATAATCTGCATCACATCCTTCCACAAAAGTAAACAGAGATACCAAAAACTCTTCCATTAAAGTAAACATCAGTTTCAAAAAGCCTACCATTAAATCAAGCACCAGTTTCAAAATCCTGTCAATGAACCGAAAGAGAGAACAAAGATACTCTAATTTCTAGCATATGAGGCATCAAGTAAATCACTGTTTATAAGTGTAAGCAAAGAGTGAGGAGGACTATCCCCAACCAAGATACCATATACTCGCCTTCTAGTTAACCAATCCGCAGGGGCATTCCCTTCTCTATATATATAAAAGAGTCATGTATATTGATTTGGTTCTCTTCAATGGAATACCAGATCCTTCTCATAATAGCAACAATATACCAAAAAGGCTTATGCTTATCCGTGAGAATAACGTAAAGACTCTCAGAGTCAGTTTCCAGCATGATGTTATAAATATTAAGGGAAGTTGCCATTTGGAGAGCAGCAAAGACAGCACAAGTTTCAGCTTCAAGTGGGGATGTAGCAACACAAGGGAAGCAAAAAAAAATTAGTACATTTTCCAATAGAATCTCTAAACAGTCCCCCTATTCCAATAGAATCAGAGGAGTAACTTCCATCAATATTAACTTTAGTCCAACCTTGGGGGGTGGTGCCCATGTATCTTGCTACCCCTCCAGGAAGGTAAAAAGGCATCAATACCATTTGCAAGTTTCAAATCCTTTTGAAAGTAGTAGTGTGACATGTATTTTCATATTTATGACTATTTCAAGCCATCCAAATAAACCATAACACAATAGAAGGAAAATAGTAAAGCTTTTTAAAAGAAGGATCCACATTCTTCCAAATGTCAAGGGCACTATTTAAATCTAGATTGGAGGGCCAATTAATACCAAAATAGCCTCCTAATCGATTCCAAACATCTTTGGCAAAAGGGCATTCGAAAAAAAGATGAGCCAAGGATTCAACATCCTTTTTACAAATATAACAAAAGAAAGCAAGTTTCAAGCATTTTAATTTAAGGATAACACCCAGTGGAAGCAAGTTATGAAAATATCTCCATAGGAAAAAGGAGATGGAAGGAGATATGTATTTATGCCAAGTGTAGCAATTCCATTTCCAATGTTGAAAAGTATGCAGCTTAGAGTAAAGCAATTTAGTAACAAAACTTCTACTTTGAAATTTCCATAAAGGAACATCTTTTTCATAAGCTCTTACATGTATAGTGGTAATAGCAGGGGCTAATTCACCAACTAAAGAAGATAACTTCGCTAAATTCCATCCTCCATCTGTCCAACAATAAAAAATTAATAGGTTAGAATCAGAGCCAGAGGTAGGCAAATCTCTATGAGAGGAGAAAACCCAATCATCATTCCATAAAGATATGCTACCATCCCCAATGTACCAAAAAATAAAACGACATGCCACAGCCCTAGCAGAAATAATAGCTTTCCAAAGTTTGGACTCCCTCACCTTCCAAGTAACAGTAGAAGGATGTAAGTATTTACAATACTTATGCTTCATGAAATGAGCCCATAAGGACTCACCAAACAAAATTTGAACCAAAGCTTAAATTGATATCAATGACCTGTTGTAAAGTTTTAAATCCAAGCACCCCAACAGAAAGAGGCTTACTATTGTACTTCCAATTAGTCCAAATTTTAGAAGATCTATTTCCTTTCCATAGGAATTTGTTGAAAATATTTTCAAGAGTATTTTGTGTGCTCGCTCTTCTTGGTTCTAAGAACCTGCATAGAGTAGAGAGGCAATGTGTAGAGGACACTTTTCAGTAAAGTAGTCTACCACCATTGGATAAAAAAGTATTTCTCCAATCATTGATCTTGAGTTTAAATTTATCAATAGCATCATCCATTTAATTTTGTTTTTTTTCTTTGCCTCTAAGGATGTTTACTACAAGGTATTTCATGGGAAGCTTAGATAACTTGCAACGAGTGTAAGTAGAAACCCAAGTGTGAATATTAGAAGAGGCACTTTTCCCCAAATAGATAAGCATTTAGCCAAATTAAACATTAACCCAGAGGTGCTTTGAAAGTCTCTTGACAAAGACATGGTAGGTTTAATGGCATGCTTACTAGCATTTAAGAACAATATAGCATCATCAGCATAAGCAAGGTGACTAACCACAATCTTTGATTTATGAGCAAATTGCATGTATGGATGATGTTGTTGATGTCGATTAATGAGCCTAGAAAGATAATCAAATGCAATAATAAACATAGTAGGGGGAAGTGGATCTCCTTGTTTAATGCCCTAGTTCGCAGAAAAAAACCATGAGGCTTGCCATTAACCATCACACTGTAGAAGTTATTAGAGAGACATCTCTTGATAAGTAAGCAAAAATCCTATTTAAAACCCCTTGCCTTGAGAATATCAATGATGAAACCCCAAATTATAGTGTTAAAAGCTTTCTTAATGTCCAACTTAAGGACCTTGTTACATCCCCTGCATTTTTTATCAAGATCCTCTATGATCTCCTGAGCTAAAAGGATATTATCAGTAATATTTTTACCTTTAATAAAAGTATATTGCTGAGGTCCAATGATTTTAAAAAGATGAGGCTGCAATCTATTAACAATGATCGTACTTATAACTTTGGAAATAATTTTAGTAAGAGAAAGAGGCCGAAAATTATCTCAATTAATCTTATCATTACCTTTAGGTATAAGCACAATCATGGCAAAACTAAATTATTTACCAGGATTATCCCTAAGGAAGAAGCTTTGTATAGTAAGAACAGTCTCCTTCTTAATAACATCCCAAGTGTGAGTGTAGAAAGAGGAGGAAAACCCACCAGGGCCTGCAGCTTTGTTAAGAGAAATAGACTTGAAAGCATCAAGAATTTTCTGTTCTTCAGGTGGCTGTGTTAAATTGAGGTCATCGATATAATCATAATTATCAACAAAGAGAGTAGTATCAATAGGATTAACATTAGTATGGGATTGATAAAGCTCAGTGAAATAGTTAACAGCACTTGCACCAATATCGTCCATGCTAGTTAAAATTTGCCCATTACAACTTTTAATTTTCAAGATGCTATTAATATTTCTTCTATGCTTTAGAGTTGCATGAAAATACTTGGTGTTACGATCCCCAACAACAAAAGTAGTGTCATTAGTCTTCTATTGAGGGAAATTTTCTTCTAAAGCAATAACATCCATTAAAGATATATGAGCCTTAGAAACAATTTTCATCAAACTAGGTGAGCAAATAAGTTGAGCTTCCAAATTATCCACAAAATTTTGAACTTGCAGCACTTTTTGATGAACATTGCCAAAAATCTGATAATTCCATTTAGTAAGATGTGTAGCCATCTTTTTGTGCAGTTGCCACAAGACAAACCAAGGTGTACCAGCTTCCTCATAATTCCAAACCTACTTAGCCAAATTTAAATAAGTTTCATGAGAAGCCCAAACATTTAAAAACTTGAAACGGGAGATACTCGGTTTAACAGTGAAGGACAAAGTAAGAAATATAGGATTGTGATCAGACATATAGTAGCTCAAATGTTGACCTCTCACTACAGGAAAATGACTAAGAAATGTTGAATTTCTCAAATAACGATCTAGCCTTTGAAAAAGAAATCCTCTTCTCCAAGTAAATGGAGAGCCAGAATAACCCAAGTTGAAAAGTCCTGCATTAGAAATAGAGTTAGTGAACTTGTTAATAAGAGCTACATCAGCTCTACCTCCCCCTTTTTTTTATAGGTTTCATAATCATGTTAAAATCACCCCCAAAAAACTAATTCTCCTTAATAATTTTTCCCATAAGCTCAAGCTTTTGCCAGAGTAAATACTTATCTTGCAACTGTGAACCAACATAAATAAAAGTGCCCACCCTTGAAAATCTTCAAAGTTGATCTGAGTTAAAACATATTGATCCTCATCTTCAATAATATAAATAGTGGTGGACCGTTTCAAGAAAAGCCAAATTTTTTTATTTATGTTGCAATAGGAGCAAAATCCTTTAAACTTATTGGGAATTCTGCCTTTGTTGACATGAAACATAGGCTCTAATATAGCCAAAATGAGTAATTTGGGAACCCTAACAAGATGTTTGAGTCTATTAAGGGAGTTAGGGTCTGCCACCCCCTAATATTCCAAACCATAATGTTATACATGATGACGTGAGCCCACCCTCCTAGAAGATCTAAGAGGGTTAACTAACTCCTCTCCATCGGAATGTTAAATAACTTCTTGTATAATATTACTATCATTAAGACTTGAGAGTTCATTGCTGCATTTAGCCTTTTTCCTTGAATGCTTTTGAACCTGCCATTCATTTTCAAGAGTTTCAGCTGCACATTGCAAAGGAGCATTAGTATCAACATTTGAAGGAGAAGAAATAGAAGCCTCATTAATTCCTAGAAATTTTTTAGAAACTGCATTTCCCTCATTTGAAATTGTTGGTAAATATGTATCCATCGTCTCAACATTAGCCACATTCTCATTTGGATCATTACCCTCTTCATTTAGCACATTACCATCAATAGTCACAATTACATTCATAGCATGACAATCTTCATTTAAAGTAGCATTAGCAGGTAGCCCATTATTAGGATTACCCTCTAAAATAGTAAGTGAGGTTTCATTAGGTAAAGCTTCCAAAATGGAAAAAAGATTATGTATAGGAGGGTCTTCCCTTAAATTAATTTTAGTTTCAGCAGCATTTGAGATGTCTTGGGAATTCAAAGGTTTTTGGGTTTCAGGCAAATTAGAGGGTTGGGTAATGGGAAGATTTAAGCTGAGGATTTAATTTAAAACCTGTAGAAGAATGATGACCAAACATGGAACAATGATTACAATAGGGAGAATGCCTTTCCAATTCAACATATTGCCAATAGCCTTGATGCTGCGACCCTATCCAAACTTCATTACAAAATGGTTATGTTATATCTCTTTCAACTAGAATACGTGCTTTGGATGGCCTTGAAAGTGTGTATGTGGCACTATCCATTTTCAAGGGCTTACCATATGCAGCCGCAGGTGAGAAAAGTATTTCATGATTAAAAAGATGCAATTTTAGCTCTGGAAAACGGATTCAAACTGGTATAATAGGTAACTCTATTTTAGGGTCAAAATTAACAGACCACTTTAAGAATTTCATCACACTATTCTCAAACTGAAAAAATCGTTTCGAAAAAAGTCGAGTATAGTCCTCATCATTGACTAATTGAATTAAGATATGCCTTCCATCAAGGATTCCTACCTTTCACCAACCCTTAAGCTTTAGCATTTCAAATTCACGCCTAATCAATTCCACTTTCGGATGTCCATAGGTAAATTTACCCACTAAAACCAAACGACAAGAGGATGCTAGAGTCGAGGTTTCATCTTCAATAATAAACAAGACAAGATTTCCATTTTTTATTCCAAACTTCCTGATAAAAGAGTGATCTCCTCCCATAAAAAATGTGTCATGAGATCCTTGAGGAAACATACCCTTGCTAGGCGCATAAGAAATACCCCCCCCCACACCCCCCCCCCCCCCCCCCCCCGTCCAATACCGCATCAATGAAAGATCAAGAAGCAAGGGGCATCGAAAAAAGCAAGTGAACATACGAAAACAAAAGCTGAAAAGATCACATCTCCAAAAATCCCAAAATAAAGGTTCAAAACCACGAAAAACAACAAAAGCTTGAAAGAAACCGCTCGACATAAGAGAGAGATGCAATAATAAAAGCAGAAGAGGGTGCTGGAAGGATCTCACCAATGGAATGTAGACGAAACAACTTCGTCCCCATAGTTCGCCTCCAAATCGCCCAAGAAACCTAACCCTAGCAAAGCACTCCACGCCGCCATTTCATTATTATTATTATTATTATTATTATTATTTATTTTAGATAATTCTGGTTAAGTTTTTTATAGCCTATGTATGTTTTGGTAGGTATACACACACACTACAAAAAAGAGCTAAGACTAAAGAAAAACCTACTATTTTTTACACGTCGAAAAAATTGTTCTAAGTACCTACTATTTTGCTATTATTTTTTATTTTTTGTTATCTGTAATGTCATACTGAAAGAGACTAATCACCTAAAAATTTAGTCTCTGAAGGTTTGAATAGGATGAAAAATTTATTCTTCAAGTTAGGGCTTAAAGTAGAGAAGATTGATTGTTGTGTAAATGGATGTATGCTATATCACAAGAGTTGGCAACTCAGTGTAGATTTTGTGATTCTTATAAATTCAAATCTTAGAGAAAAAAATTAAGAGATAGAAAGAAGTTTCGTTCAAGTAGCTTTTTTTTCTACCGCTTATTCCACGTTTATAGAGGATATAAAATTCTATATGTACTACTCCACATATGATATGACATCAGAGCAGATCAAGAGAAAATAGCTTAATGAGTCATCTAATAGATGGAAAGGCATGAAAATCTTTTGATCACTCATATCCTGAGTTGGCTGTGGAGGCACAAAACATCCGACTATGTTTATACTCTGACGACTTGACATGAAATGTTCAGACCACATTTCCTTACTCTTGTTGGATGGTGAATGTTGCATCATACAATTTGCCACCTAAGATGTGCATGATAACCCCTTTCTAATTCCTAACACTAATTGGACAATGAAGTCAATATCTTTGAATTTGCCTTTTTGGAAGGATAATATGATTAGACGCAATCTGAATATCATGCGTATAGAAAAAAATTTATTTGATAATATTTTCAACACTGTGATGGATGTTAACAAAAAAAATGAAGGATAACGTGAATGGTAGACTTAATTTAAAAGAGATATGCAAAAGGCAGGAGTTGGATATCCAAGAAACTACTACCGGCATGCTCATTAAGTCTAAAACAAAATATTCCCTCACTTTTTCCCAGCGAAGAAAAATTTGTGAGTGGGTCCAATCACTAAAATTCTATAGTTGGTATGCTTTGAATTTGAGCTGTTTTGTTGATGTGGGTGCTAAAAAAATTTTGGAATAAAAAGTCACGAATGCCATATTTTTTTACAAAATTTTATGTCAACCACATTTGGTTGTTTGTTGGGTGAAGTCTTTAATCCATTGATTAAAATTAGTGTGTTCTTCAGATAACAATGTATAACTAGTTTGAAGTTTGATGACATACACCAACAAGAAGCAAGCATTTCTGTAACACTTCACAATATTGAGAGAATACTTTCACTTAGTTTCTTTGACTCAATGGAGCATCTTCACGTATATTTACCGCACAAGGCATTAAATGGAGGTCTAGTATAATACCGCTGGATGTATCTGTTTGAGAGGTAATTATATTGGGATTGGATACTTATTCACTCATTTATAAATAATATTAGTAGTTTTGTACTGTGCAACATTTGCTTCTTAGATTATTGAATAAATTGAAGAGAACTATGAAGAATAAATCATAACCATAAGGATTAATATGTAAGAAATATTTACTCTAAGAGACAATGACATTATGTTCCTACTATTTTGTGGAAGAAGAGTTCGTGAAAGAGGCATTAGGTTTGGTGCCACCATCGACCTTTCCTATTTTCCAGTAGTTAGGTGAAGCATCAGAGAAGTGCATATCACATTACCTTAATGATCAAAAACTTCGAGCAGTAACACTTTTTGTTCCTCTTAATTGGGACGAAGTACAACCCTTTATTGCATAAAAAATTTTTCATTGCAATTTTTAAGTCACTTATTTGAAGTGTCATGATTAACTATTTCAATGATATTTAAATTTGTGAACAATTTATTCATAGATTTGTTAAATCTGGTTGAAGATGATGACACAAGTAGGGAGATCGAGAATAACTTCCCCCAATGGTTTAAAACGCATGTGAGTTAAAATTGATATATTCATTTCTCATGTGGCATGAGGCTCTTCAATAACACAAAATTTCTTATGTATATATTAATAGATTCATGATTGGAGAAATAGATTGACAGAATAGGGATTAATAGATTTTTCTTGGGAACCTATGTGCATCATGAAAATCTAGCAAATTTACGATGTAAATGGTATAGGTTTCAAACAAGATTCTGATATGAAGGAAAAAAATCTTTTAATTCCAGGGGTTTGTGTTAAAGCAAACGAGAAGTCAAACAATGAGATAGACTATCATGGTATTCTGAAAGAAGTTGTTGAACTATCTTATCTAAGCTCTATTGTAGGAAGTGTATTCCTCAACTGTACTTGGTTCAATCCTATTCTGGATCATGGAACAAGGATAATCCAACTATATAATATCACAAAGGTGAAAGTGAATAGAAGATATAATAAATTGATCATTTCAATCTAGCCCGACAAGAGAGTCATGTTTACTATCATCGATATCCACATAGAACAAGAGATAATGTTGATTGGGCCGTTGACATTTCGAGTAAACCAAGAGCCACAATTAATATTCAAAATAACATTGAACCTATCCAACAAGAGAGTGAAATGATATGTTTCAATTTTCCACTTAATGCAATCGCTGAAGAGCTTAATCTGGAGGTTTCTATTGGCAAATACAAAGAAATTAATCAAGGCGATTAGTATGACTCTGCAAAGCATTTGAAGAATTGATTATGACTACATCCTATAGTCACTCTTCATCAAATACTGAGTAAGATGAATAAGTTTATTATACCTTTCATAGAATTTTTTATTTCACTTTATAAGATAGTTTTGTGTTATTTATTTTAGTAGTTGTACCTTGTACTATCACTTTTGTTTACCTGTCAGCTTCAAACTTGTGTGTTTTATGTTTATTATGTACTGTTATATTTTTATTTTATTACATAATATGTGTTATGTGCACAAATTAATAAAATTTATACTCCTTCTTGAAAATTTCAATTGGAGGCAGGGATGGTCTCCCTCCCTTGGGGGGGGGGGGGGGGGGGGGGAGGGTGGGGGGGGGGGGGGTTTGGACCACAACTCTATCTAACGAAGAAGAGCATCAAGAGAGTCTGCCTGACTTTGACACCTACTCCCACCCCCACTCTGACACTGACCCATGCCCTTACTGCCTCATCACCACTGCCACAGCCCCAACCCCCACCTCCACACCCGCCTACTCATCCGCTCATGTCACCACCCTTGTCCCCATACTCATTCTCGCCCCCACCTCCGCCTCCACCACCAACTCCACACCCACACCCACTGTTAGACCCACCCCACCCTGTGCCTTACCGCCACGCCTACCTACACCCCAAGTGCAGTACGATTGAGTGAATTAGAGGCTCACGCTGCCTCTGCCAAATAGGAGTTGATAAGCAATGACAACATATCGAGCCCATCAACAACACTAAGTTTTCTTAGAGATATTATCAATAAGTTTTTTTTAAATTGAATAAAAACTAACAAATTAGTGTTTTAAGGTTCTATCTCCCAACTAAGAATATTCATGTCATTCGGAATATCATTTAGAGCAAGCACAATTCAAATACTTCTTTTGGAAGCAGATGCTGATGGTCATTCAAGATCTTTGGTTTTAGGAATTTGCGATACTTATCATTCACAAATAAATTAAGTTGTTTATATCTATTTATCAATCGAACATAATCCCTGTAATATTTTCAAAAACAATTCTCTTGGCACCTTGAGCATGAGGCACACATCCAGTGCAACTTCGAGTGGAAGGGAAACGATCGCCTCCGAGTCATGTTCGGTGATATCCAAAAATCATGATAGCGTCCTCTGTGGCTCAGGAGAATGTTTTTGCCACATTGCTTAGAGCTTGATATTCTTCAGACTATTAGAAGAAGAGGGAGCTGGCAAAGAAGAAAAGACGATCAGATTGTAGATCCATGGGGACCTCCAAGCACACTGGTGGGGCGCTTCCACATACAAAATACAAACAGAGGTCGATAAGATTTCATTTATTCTCTAAGTTTTTCTATAGTTTCAAAATGTATTCTAACAATTTTGTTTCATGGATAGGTTGTGAAGATTAGACGAGAGCCATCTGCCGCCGATGCACATGAGCACACCCGCAGGAGGCGGTCCAACTATTCCTGGCTAGACGTTAGATCACATGCAACCCAAGTAATTGACGAGCTAAACTAGTTTAATTTTAATACATGTTAGCTCTAGTTGAATGTAACTACAATGTTTGAAGTAGAGATTCTAGCAGCTGAAAAAGAGTCAATCCCAGGCGTCGGGAGGTGTTACTATTGGTGAGCATGATCCTTCCAAGTACGATTTTTGGAAGGAGGCTGTTGGAGGGAAGAAGAAGGGTTGAGTCTACGGGCTCAAGTCACAAGGGTTTACCTACAACACTCACCCCTACACCAGTGCATCTGCAGCTTCTAACTCTACTGCTCAGGATGATAAGATCTTCAGGCGTGTTGCTGCATTCTGCCGAGATGGATGCCCCTTCTCTAAGATGAGGTCAAAGCTAGAGACCAAGCTGAAGACTGAGTTGGATTCCTTCCGCCAGTGGATGAGTGAACATGGTGAGGCAACGACAGCATTGGAGAAGGAGAAAAGTGGTGGAGAACGATGAGGATGAAGGTGACGAGAAAGATGAGGATGATTAAGAGAGGCTTCTTTTCTTTTTTTTTATATTTGTGTACATTTGGACTTTTTTTTTTGAACAGTGATGTACATATTTTGGAGTAAATACATTTTATTTATTTCATTATTTGATTGAATAAATTACTGTTAGCTATATTATTTCGGTTTGATAGCTATATTATTTCGTTAAATGCAATAAATTATATAATAAATGTTGTGGTAATAGGTTTGATTATGTAAATATGAAATAAAGAATTTATTTTTTTTCCTTATACTACTGGTTTTTGATAGCTTACAGTGGGTTTTGTGATGGTTTTAAACTTTTTCGTAGGCAAAA